TTTTTTTTATATACATCCCCTATGTGACCAGGACAATATCACATTTCGGTCATTACAGGTCTAAAAGAAGCTCAAATCCCTTCACTGTCCCTGTTGATACTCTTTGGGTGGCGTGATCAAACTTCTGCCTTCTAAATTCTTAACACTACCAAATACCTAGGCTTTATAAGATTTTGATTAATATTCCTACAAGAGTTAACTTTTCCCCCCAGTACTAGAAATTAAATTCAGGGGTGCTCTACCTCTGACCCAACCCTTTTTATTTTTTATTTTGAGAAAGGGTTTCACTAACTTGTTGAGGCTGACCTTGAACTTATGATGCTCTTGCCTCAGCCTCCCGAGTCTCTCAGATTATAGGCATGTGCCTCCAGGCCAGGCTGAGTTAACTTTGTGATATGAAAAAATTTTGAGATTTACAAGAACAGGACACCAGCAATTCTAAGTGTACCCCAAAGCTGGTTCATTTGTCGTTCGTATTTGTCACATTCAGTAAGAGGCATTCCTGCCCCAAAGAAACCACAGTACCCCCTGCAGACACTCTCTGGCCTCTCCTTTCACGACCAGTCTCGCCAGCTGCCTTCAGCAAGGAAACAGAGCTGACTCTAGACCAGCATCCTTTCCAAAGGCAGGCCGTCCATCTCTTCCTGGGCTAGTCTCTGCCTACCTCTTCCTGAAAGAGGAGCAACTTTAAACTAGCTGAACAAAGAAGGCAGTTTCTTGATCCAGACACTTGGGGCAAAACACGGGACACATGCTCTGTTCCATTTCCGTGGACCACCTCACTCAAGTGACTTTCTCTCTTATACCTCTGCAAATTTTCTCTGCCTCTACTTCTCCTTTAGATGAGATACCTCCATTAAGGGAAGAAATCATATGACAGGAACCCAAAGGTAAGGTCATACCATCTGACTACGTATCACCCAATTGGAAATCTTACCAAAAAGGAAGCTTGTTGTTCTCTGGTTTCCAATTTACTGTTTTTGAGAGAATAAGTGATGCCAAATCACAAAAACCTGAAGGACTCTGCTTCCCACTTCTCTCCTGCTGTTATGTTTACAACTTTATTTAGAAAGAGCTGACTTGACGGCTTTTGCCATTCAGTAACCCTTCAATATGAGGGCTTAAGGGCTTAAGATGAAATCCTTCAAATGAGCTGAGTAGATATCAAATACTCAAAACTCCAAATTACCTAGACTGGTAGAGGTTAATGTCCTGCATTAAATAGCAACAGAAAGTATCAATTTTGTACTCTGTTTATGCCTGCCAAAGGACTGAGTCAAATAAACACATAAAATATGATAGATGAGGGCAACAGGGGTAGAAATACCACCACAGTTATTGAGAAAGGTCCAAGAAGTGAGCAAATGTAGGTGTGCCCTGGCCTCCTTTCACCCTCACGTACTCCTATCTGGACCTTCAACTCTCCTTTCCCAGTGTAGAGCTGACGGAGAAATAACCTCCTAAAATGCCACCCTATTTATAATTTTTATAGCCACATAACCCCCAAGGGCTATGCTACTGAGCAGATTTATGGCAATAGCCCAAGCCTCTGAGATTACTAGAAAAATAATTATAAGAAAACTGTTAAGTACCAATTTAAGATTTTCATTAACCTTGTCTTTCTACAATGTTGGTTTATAGTATTAGTTCACTCTGAAAAACAGAAATTCCATCAGATACTTGTAGAGCTCAGAACTCACCTACCCTTTTATACTACAGGTGAGAGAACAGGTCCAGAATATAGTGTGATTTGAATAAGGTTATAAGGCTAATTAGTCACAGATACATGACCAGGGCACCACTAGAGAACTCTCTATTATATTCCATAATCCTCCAAGAAAGAGCTTGAAATACCAAGCTCCATTACCCACCACATTTAGATATACCAAAGGTTAAATCAACTCCTCTAAGGAAGAAATATGATCAGTCTTAGTCTTTGGCCTCACTATGAAGTAATTCCCAAGTAAGTCTAATGAAGATGCCATAAGGGCCCCTTGGGAGGCAAAAAGCCTTTCAGTCAGACTTCTCTCTGTATTCCTAACATCTGAGCAAGTGAACTGAACCAAGGCATACTACATATGGGGACTAACACAGTGTTACTTTACTTGCCATACGTGAGTGTTATCTATAAATTTTATATTCTTTAGTACCTGCACTGCATGAAAGCAAAACTCAATCTTGGTTCCCACTGACTCTGAAACAGGATAGGAAAAATCTGAGAGTAAAAACACAACAGGAATCATAGCTGTTTAAAACAAAGGTTTGAATATATTATCAAGGGTTCAATTAATTCATAGAAGTAGAAAGCAGAGTGTTGGTTACCAGAAGGAGAGGCTGGACAGGCCAAGGGGAGACACTGGACAAAGGCACAAAGTTTCAGCTAAACAGAAGGAATATGTTCATCTATCGCACAGCGTGACGACTATAGTTAATACCAATGAATATTTCAAAACCACTAAGAATATATTTAAAATGTGCTCACCACAAAGAAATAATTGTGAGGTGATGGATGTTCACTAATAATCTGATCATTCCACAATACATCACTTTGTACCCCATCAGTATATATAATGATTAGATATCAAAAATTAAATGAAACTTTCAAATAGAATTGTTATTGTAAAAAAATAAGTTAAAGAGACTGTTGTCTTCAATAATATTAACTCCTGTCACAGTTAAAGCAAACTGCTAACATAATGGTGTTTTTACTCTTAGGAAGCTTAACTTACCCACCTGTGAAATAGAAATGGTAGATTTTCACATCACATCTTAAAATAAGTGTCACTGTACCGTAATGGTAATTGCCAACCTGTCTGGGAAAGCTCTTCTATGAAGAATATAGTGAAATAACAGTCAGTGACATTGGTAATTTCACATAAAAATATAAAATCAAATTAGAGAGCAGAGACTCAGACAGACATTTGCAGATCCATGTTCATAGCAGCATTATTCACAAGAGCCCAAAGGTGAAAACAACCCAAAGATCCACAAACAGACAAATGGCTAAACAAAACATGGCATATACATACAACAGAGTACGATTCAAGCTTAAAAAGGAAGAAAATTCTAGTTACAGGTTACAGAATGAATTAACTTTGAAAATTGTATACAAAGAACAAGTGTTATGATTCCACTTACAGGAAGAACCTAGAATAGTCAAATTCAAAGAGACAGAAGAAGGGTGGTTACTAGGAGCTGGAGAGAGGAGAATGGGAAGTTATGGTGTAGTAGACACAGAGTTTCAGTTTGGGATATAAAAAAAAGTTCTGTAAATATAGTTGTGATGTTTGCATAAAAATTTGAAAGTAGCCAGGTGCCCAGGTGCAGTGAGTGGCACACAACTATAATTCCAGCAGCCCTAAAGGCTGAGGCAGGAGCATCATGAGTTCAAAACCACCTTAGCAACTTAGCAAGGCTCTAAGAACTCAACACGACCCTGTCTCTAAACAAAATATATAAAAAGGACTGGGGATACTACTCAGTGGTTATGTGGTTTGGGAACTGGGTTCAACCAGTAACAAAAGAAAAAAAAATGTGAATGTGCTTAATACTACTACTGAATCATACAATTAAAAACAGGTAAAATGGTGAATGTTATTACATCTATTATTTTAATAAAAAATCAGATGAGAAATACTAAATAGTAATTTCTGTCATGATTTTGACCCATATTCCACTCCCCTGCACAAGCAAATAAAACACATAAACAACAACAACAAAAAACAGAAGCCATTACAGCTTAAAATATGTATATATCATCAAATTTAAAAAAAAAGCTTGGCTTTCATTCCATAGTCATTTATCCTGTGCTCACTACTAAAATGATTCATGTCCAGTATGATGAAGCTCCAATTAAACATACAGAGAGAAAAGAGGGGGAGAAATTGTAGCAATGGATGTGTCAGCAGATTGACACAGCAACCATCTGTGGACATAACTGTACTTTGAATTCAGGGTCCCAGATCCTGTGGTAGGGCAGGGATCTTCACCTCAACTGTGAATAGGGCACTTCTGGAAGGAAGTTCTGTAATAGCCAGCTCTAAGTACATGCACATTTCCTACTAGTCTTACACAGGAAGTCACTCTTGGGTCTCACCTGCATGAGTTCCTGTTATGAGGCCAGGGGACTGGTGAGTTGAAATCCAGTTCCAGGGAGTGATGTCATCTTGAGTGAGCTATGATCCTGGTGACCTGTTCCCCAACCTGGTGTTGTTGCAGCCCTTCAGCTGGGATTCAGGTTATAAGGGGACCAAAAAGGAAAAAGGGGAGTAGGATAAGAGAAAAAGAAAAAGTGCTTGCACATTTCCTTTGTTTCATTAAAGCATTTTCTGCTTCCATTTAATTTGATGGGAGGACCTGGTTGATGGCAGATGGATGCTGTGCAGATGCTCTTGGAGGAGTACTGGGCTCTCACACAGATCTCAAAATTATAAAGATTAAAACAAAACAGAATTTCAGGGGCTGTGGATGTAGCTCAGTGGTAAAATGCCTTCCTAGCATGTGTGAGATCCTGGTTTTGATTCCCAGCATTGCAAAAAAAATTAAAAAAAAAAAAAAGAAGAAGAAGAAGAAGAAAATTTTAATTATTTCTGGTGGCTTCTATCTTAGAAATAGTGCCTTACTCTTTCTTCTTTTGATAAAGTTTAAAAAACACATTAATATGTATGAATTTTTGTAAATAGTGCATGACTACAGGAGCTATCTTAGCAACATAAAGAAATTACAAATACAAAAATAAAAATGATTGGAGATGTGTTAATGCTAATATTCTTTCTACATTATGTCAAGCAGATCAGGAATTCAAATATAAAAATCTTATCACTTTAAGTAATAAAACAGGATTGACATTAATTCCATTTAGACGAGACCCTTTGGTTCATAGTATACCAACCTAAAAAGTAAAACGGAGTCAAGCAGCAGAAACTGATAACATTCCAAAAGGAAAGGAAAAGGGGAAAAAAAAAATTTTTAATCTTAAGCTATTAAATAAAGGACACATCTACATTTTTATCACATTTATTTTATATCATGATTTCTTAGTTCTTATTATGTTGACACAATTTGGGGAATAAATACTCCCTTCCCTTTTTTGTTGCACGTGTGTTAAAAAGAGTAGGAAGAACAGAATATGAGAGAATAAGCAAAAGGTGCAGGAATGGGAAGACGGGGGAAGATGAGGTTGAGAGAGAAGTGAGTGTTTATCTGAACCCTCTCTAATGAGCAGTATTAACCAAAAAAGTTCAAAGCTCACAACATGAAGTGTCTTCTCCTCACAGAAATAATCTGGGACCACAGTCAAATGCATTAACTATATAGCATTATGGTACAGGCTCCCTTTCAGACATTCCACATATATAATTTTTTTCCTATTTTTAAGCCCACGGGTGACACTGTTCATGAAGCACTTTTAGTGTATTATTCAGTAAATATTAATTGGGTCTTAGAAACCAATCTGGTTAGCAGAAGGCATTCTTAGCTGCCATGTAAAGGTACTTCTTTCAAGTAAAATCCTACATGTAGAGCTTTGAATCAGAGGAACTTCTTGAAGGACATTCCTATTTCAGTTGGGTCTGCAATGCACTGCAATCCTAAATGTAGATTAAATTAATTCATACCTTGGTTAAAGGCATGTATATAATACCCACTGACAAAATTAGCTAATATCTTGTCCAGGTGGTAACTGTAAATGAATCACTTTTACCCTGGCTCTTCCCCCTGATTTCCTAATAAAGGTCTTTATCCAATGCTTTGGTGCTCCATAAATGAGCGAGACTGCTTTTGTGCTGGAGATGCCTATTACAGAGAAGATCACAATGTGTGAAAAACATCCTGCATGTGTTCATCTCATCACTTCTGCCCAATCCACAGGGGTAAAAAATGGATGCGATTTGATATCTTCAACACCAGCAACACCAGCACCCAGACGTTCCAGAGGGTTGAACTGCAAGAGCTAAATAAAAGAGAAGGATTTAGTGAGTAATAGGAATCCAACTAGTAGAGCAGAGGAAAACAAAATATATGAAAGGAGAGAACTTCTAAATTCAACCTCAGTGACAAATGTACTTGATGTAGCTAACTGCCTATGTTTTCTTGAAAGGGAGCTGTGTCTTACACCACCTCAGCTGAAGGGGTGTGGGATATCTGAACTGAGCTTATAGCTTTTCAACTGTTTTGAAATATGTCCCTGAGTAATGTTCCCCTCATCTTCAGATAGTATGATGGGATCAATTTCCTACTCCCAAAGTAATGACACTAATTAAATATTGCACTCCACTCTCAGACAGTGACTTCCTTCATGATTCAGAAATTTGGGAGACACAATAAGTCTTTTCAATTCCTAACTATAGTGCACTGGGAATAAACTGTAACTAAAGTCTCAATAAGGTAATTTGTATCCCTAAATAACTTTTTAAAAAAATTACCCTGACTCAAATGAAATAATTCAATGCAATAAATGAATGGCTTTAATTTCCTCAGAAATAAGAATCAGATATAAAATAAGTTAATAATGTCACACACAACAGTATTGTTAATATTGGAGAATAAAAGTACAGATACAATTATATAAGGACCCTGAGCATGCTGGAAGAATATGTCTTGAGACATTCATGTATCCTCAAATTTTTGTTTTAATAACTTCACTGAGGGACAATTTTATATTATATAGATAATATAAAATTCATCTGTTTAGAGTATATAATTCAACTATTTTTAGTGAATTTAGAATTGATCACCATGATTATGATCCAGTTTAGGACACTTTATAACCCTAAAAAGTTTCCTCATGCCATCTACAGTTAATGCCTACTCCCATCCCCAGCACTAGGCTACCAGTGGTATATTTTCTGCCTCTATCAACTTGTCTTCTCTGAACATTTCACATAAATGGAATCATAGAATATGTACCTTTTGTAGTTAGATTCCTTCCCTTAGCAAATTTTTATTTCTGAAGAGTATTCCACTAATAAGTTGTGTTAATCTATTCACCATTTAAAGGACCTCTGGGCTTTCCAGTTTGGGGTTTTAATGGATAATTAAATTAGATTACTTTGTGTAGATACATGTTTTCATTTCTTTTGAGTACATTCCTGAGAATAGAACTGCTGGGTCACATAGTAAGTTTGTGCAAATTTTTTAAGAAAATTGTCAGATTTTTCCAAAGTGGCTATACCACTATTCCATCAGTAATGTATAAGGGTTCCAGTTTCTCTATACCTCAATAACACTTGGTCTGTCTTTTTGATAACAGCCCTTTAAGTGGGTATTAGTGATCTCTTATTAGGGCTTTAATTTGCATTCCTTAATGACTAATAATATTGGGCATCTTTTCTATGCCCTTATTGGGCATTCACATAGTTTCCCTGGTAAAATATCAACTCTTTTCCTCATATTTCTCTCTCTCTCTCTCTCTCTCTCTCTCTCTCTCTCTCTGTTCTAGTTAGTTATACATGACAGTAGAATGCATTTTTACACACTGTACACAAATGGAGCACAACTTCTCATTCCTCTGGCTATACATAATGATAAGTCACACCTGCAAATGCCATAATCTTATTGGGTTTCAACAGTTCTTTATATATTCTAAGAATGAAATGATGGCATTTGCAGGGAAATGGATGGAGCTGGAGAATATCAGGCTAAGCAAAATAAGCCAATCCCCAAAAACCAAAGACTGAGTGTTTTTCCTGATATATATGTGGGTGCTGATCCATAATGGCTGGGGGCGCTCATGAAGAATGAAGGAACTTTGAAATTTGGATTGGACAGAAGGGAGTGAGGGGAGGGAAAGGGGGGTTGGAGGGGAAAGATTGTGAAATGAATCAGGCATTATTCTCTATGTACATGTATGATTGCACAACTGGTGTGATTCTGCAACATATAACTAATTAGAACAAATTTTTAAAAAGAGTTCTTTATATAAGTACATGATTTGCAAATATTTTCTCCCTGTGACTTTTCATTTTCTTAATGGTCTTTTGAAGTGTGCAAGTTTTTAATTTTAATAAAGTCTATTTTATAAAATTTTCCTTTTATGGATCATGCTTTTGGTATCATATATAATTAACTCTTTGTTTAACCCAAGGAAGGTCATAAGATTTTTTATTTTCTTCTATAATTTTTATAGTTTTAGCTCTTATAAATAGGTCTATGAACTACTTTGTGTCAATTTTTGCATATGGTATGAAGTAAAGGTGCGAATTCATTTTGGTTTTAGCATGTGAATATTTAATTTTCCAGCTTCATTTCTTAAAAACATGTCTTAATTACTGTTAGTGTGGAAATCAGCTAGTGTAAGTCCTCCAACTTTGTTCTTCTCTTTATTGTTCTGAGTGCTCTAGGTTCTTTGCTTTTCATGTATAGTCTAGTCAACTGAAGTTTCCCAATTTTGCTGATCTTTTCAAAGAAACAACTTGTGGGAACAGCAGAGGTACATGTCAACAGATCAACAGATAAAAAAAATGTGGTATACACAATGGAGTTTTATTCAGCCATGAAGAAAAATGAAATTGTCATTTGCTGGACAGAAGTGCAGAACATAATGCTAAGCAAAATAAGCCAGGCTCAAAAAAAAAAAAGTCAAAGGTCAAATGTGTTCTCTCCTATGTGGAAACCACAGAGGGGGAGGTACGGGGAAGGAAACAAATTTTAAAAAGTGATCTAATGAAAACAGAAGGGAGACTCAATAGAGTAGAGGAAGGGGATTGAGAGGGGGGTACTGGGAAGTACTGGGGTCCATGTATGAACATACCATTATGAGTCCTGCCTGTTTAAATAATTATCAAGCATTAACTAAAAACTAAAAATAGAAGGAAGATCAGTATAGTACAGCAAGCAAATTGGGGAAGAGGAGGGAAATGAAAGGCAAGTACTGAGGTATGAGATTGTCCAATTATGCATGTGTGAATATGGTACAATGAATCCCAATGTATAGTGTATAATTACACTGCATCAATAAAAATATTATTTTAAAAATTTCTAATTTATAAATAGCTATCTATCTATATCATAGATAGGAAGATTAAATGTCTAAATAGTTGTACTTAGACTCATAGTATTTAATAAATAATGGCTAGTGTATAATCATTAATTCATTAATAAAAGAACCAACTTTTAATTTCCTTGATTTTTTCTCTCATTTTTCAGTTTTACTGATTTCTGCTTCCTTTGTTCTCTTTAGATTTACTTTGCTTTTTTTTTTTGAAAGAGAGAGAGAGAGAAGAGAGAGAGAGAGAATTTTTTTTTAATATTTATTTTTCAGTTTTCAGTGGACACAACATCTTTATTTTATTTTTATGTGGTGCTGAGGATCGAACCCAGCGCCCCGTGCATGCCAGGCAAGCGCGTTACCGCTTGAGCCACATCCCCAGCCCAAGATTTACTATGCTTTTTTATAGTTGCTTTTTACCGTTTCTTAAGATTTAAGCTTAAATTTTGATTTCTTTTTTTCTGATGTAGTTATTTAAAGCCATAAACTTTCCTCATTAACTGATTTAGCTGCACTCCAAAAATTCTGACTGTATTTTCAGTTTCATTCAGCTATTTCCATCTTATAGCTTTTCCTGGAATTTTTTCTTCGACTCATAAGATATTAAAAGTACATTATTTAATTTCCAATTATCTGTGAATTTAGCAGATCTCTTTCTGTTGTTGATTTCTAACTTAACTCTGCTGTGTTCAGAGTACAATGTATGATTTCAATCCTTTTAAAAATATTGAAACTGCTGAGCTCAGTGGCTCATGCCTATAATCCCAGTGGCTCAGGAGGCTGAAGCAGGAAGATTACAAGTTCAAGGCCAGCCTCTGCAACTTAGCAAGGACCTAAGCAACTTAGCAAGACCTTGTCTTAAAATAAAAATGGCTAAGGATGTGACTCAGTGGTAAACATCCCTGGGTTCAATCCCTGGTGAGAAAGAAAAGAAACAAAACGAAACGAAACCTGTTCTATAACCTAACATGATCCATCTTGGAGACTACTTTATATGCACTTAATAAGAACATATATTCTGCAGGTGCTGGGGACAATGTTTTATATATGGCAGTTATAACTGTTTAATAACATTCTTTGAATTTTCTATATCCTTGATAATTTTTTATCAATTATCAAGAATGAGGTCTGAAGCCTTCATGTATTAATACTGAATTTTCTATCTTTCCTTCCAATTCATTCATATTTTGTTGTTATTTTGAGGCTATTAGTAGTGCATATGCATTTGTAATGGCTCCCATTCCCTATGTGTTGACCCTGCTATTATTATGAAACATCTGTCAATCTCTAGTAATTCTCTTGCTTTAATGCCCATTCTATTGATATTTAAGACAGTTACTCCAGTTCTTATGGTTACTGTTTGCATGGGTTATCTTTTCCTGTCCTTTTTCTTTAGCCCTACTTGTGTGTCTTTGGATTTAAAATGTATCTTGTACATAGAAGACAGCTGAATCTTACTTTATATCCGTGTTAATACTGCCTTTTGTGAGCATGTTCACACATTCACTTTGAGTGTAATTATTGATGTAGCAGATCATGTTTGACATTTTGTTACTCATTCTCTCTATATACATCATTTTTGTTCCTCCTTTAGTGCCTTCTTTTAAATATTTTTTACTGTATCAATTTATCTCCTCTCCTAATTTTCTTTGACTATTTTGTTTCTGAGGGTGGGGGTTACCATCTACTCTGAAAAATACTAACTTAATTCCAGTGAAAGGCAGAAATTTTTTCACACTCTAGCCCAGTTTTCCCCCCTTATTTTGTCTATTATTATCATCCACAGGGGTTCCAGGACCCAAAGTGAATATCAAAACCCAGAGACGTGCATTTCATTTTAAACAGCACAGTTTTTGCATATGACCTGTGTACATCCTCCCACATACTTTGAATCACCTCTAGATTATTTATAACATAGGTAATTACTAGGACACAATGTAAATACTATGAAAATAGTTGTTACA